CCCCTAAAAATCTTTTATGATTATACAGGGGTAAAACCTTGTACGTCGTTCACAGTCAGTCTGCCGCTGTCTCATAAGATGATAAGCTGAAATTTCCAGCAAACAGCAGAGATAGAGTCTTTTGTAATGAGGTTATAGCCTACAGAGCTTAGGCCCTTTTAAATGTCTTTTTGGGAAATAAACCCATCGTTCGTACTTCTGATAGTCCTTGTCTTTTTTATTCAGGCCTATGCCGTCTTTCTTCTCCAAGCCAAACACTGCCTGTGATTTTGATCCCTTAAATCCCCTTTACATTCGATCCAAGGAGATTTAAAGTTTTAGTTCTAACCTCCTCGATTCGATCCCAATGACACGTTCGACTCCTGTCAAGTCTGTATGGTCTGTTGGTTTTTAAATTGCATCAGTCTGCATAATATTATAGGTTATATATAAGTTGGTGAGTCAGTCGAGAGGCTTGCCTTCCAGCTCATGCGGTGGTTGTTGGCTCCCTCAAGAGAATACTTGCTAGCAAATGTTAGGAGTAAACATGATATTGAAAACAATTAGATTTATAATTAGGCCTAGTTACAAATTAACAATTTGCTTTAATTAATAGTATTTATGAGGAAACTCGGGGGTGGAAACTCCCGCTAAATCATCGTTTTAACTAAAATTAGAAACATCAGGCAGAAAAGTAATCGGGAAAACCCAGAGATGAATCTGGCAGGTTCTCGAGGCCAACGTGTAACTATGACCTCATTTCCGTCAAGGGAACCAATGAACTACCATGCCGTGCACTTCCGGCACAGGAAATAAACACTGACATTACAATCTCACCTCACACCACAGTTGTTCTCGTGTACCAAGGGGAGGGATAAATATCTAGAGGGATTTTTTCTTCAACTTGTCGTGGGTTCCCTGGCTAATTTTTTTTAACTAACATGGGCCGGAGGAGAAAAGGACACTGGATGGCTAAATGTTTGCAGGTTATCCTGACGGTTTCTACCATCTTGACTTTGTTTTTGACCGCTCTGATGGCGAATAGTGTCAGTTCAACTTCAACAACAAACTCACCACCGTTGTCAACAACAAAGTCTACTGGACATGCCAGCCCAGCAAAAAGGCAGTCAGATCCCAGCTGCGACATGTTCGTACCTTTTTCTACTATTTGTGTATTTTTGACTCGCAGTTGACCCCTCGCCCTTGCTTTTAAAAAAAATAGATCTAGACTAGACGTCTATGCAGTGACTGTGACAATAAATAAAGTGCTGTGAACTGAGTGAGGCCACCTCCGGAGTGAGAATAGTGCAGGCGAGTCTTGTGGCTATTCTCACCCGGTGCGCGTTCACCAAATTTTGCGTTCACCCTAAACCACAGAATTCTACACTGTGATAACAGAAAAATTGTAGAATTCTGTGCCGTGAACAAACGTTCCATTACAACTGTAGCCTACTAAAAGCGTACAATTTTGTCTGTGGGCAGTGGAGAGAGAGAGAAAGAGAGAGAGGAGTAGCGCAAGAATTTCCGGTCAAAACAAAATGGCGACCCGCGTAGTTCGGCTCGATTCGAAAAGTTAAATAGCCGTAGCTTCTTTTTAGTAGACAACCACATTAATTTACTTTTGTGTTTTAACATCATTTTTTAACTTTGTTTTGGTCAATTTGATCGTCCACACCGATAGACAGTATTCAGAAAGAGACAGAGAGAGAGAGAAGAGGGGAGGAGTTGATCTTGCGAGAACTTCCAGGCGGGTGAGAATAGCCACTTTCACTGAGTCTGAGTGAACATAGTGGCGTGAATGTAGCCTGCAAACTAGACTCTACGTTCACAGCACTTTATTGTCATAGTTTGCAATTTTGAATTTAAGAATGATCTTGCTCGCTTCACCCCGTATCCTTTTCCCTTTTGCTTCTTCTTTTTTTCACCCCGTCCCACCCCTCCTCCCGCCTTGGCCTTCTTCTTCTCACTTGTTTCTTCGAAGGCCTTTTATTTTCAAATCGTCAAGGGGGGCTCTCGTGGCCTAGAGGTTAAGGTGTTCGCCTCTCTTTCAAAGGTCCTGGGCTCAAATCAGTGTAGCGGCGAAGATTTTCTTCTCTACACAGCGCACCGGCAGTGGAATTTTAGTTGCCGCTGGGGTTTCCCCGCCGGGCGCCTTATCACACCGGGGTCATGGGGGTCAGCTCCCTGTCGCCGCTCTGTCTGGGCTGACTTAATTTTTTGTACTTTTTAACGTAGAATTTTAGGTGTATCCTTGTATTTATAAATAATGGTAATTCTCATTTAGTGCAACCAAAGCGGGCATTTCTGCTCTTGAGACCAAAAAAAGAATGGACGTTGTATAACTTGTCTGGTTATTTCGTTAGACGCCCTGGATTCGACAATACTAAATTGCAAATTTTTTTGACTAGCGTGAATGAAAAAAAATCAATATATAAAAAACGGCTCGACAAAGTCTGTCGAACTTTTGGAACATGAATGGCATAGCATTGGTGCGGATACTCAGAAAAGATGGTATCTGATCTGCGCAAATAGAAAGAGCAGCTGTAATTTTGCAACTTTATCCATCGGGCACACTATTCGCTATGAAGTAACACCTCCAAATACAACTTTATGTGTCTAATATAATCGTGAATATTCGCATATTTTCTCGAAAGTTTATAAAAGTAACCCTGAAGTTTCTCCATGAAAAGTACAAATTGCTTTTAGTGCCAGAATACATCTTCAATGTAATACGAACAGTATCTGTTACACTCCAGAAATTCCTTACTTTTCTTAAAACGCTAAGTCTAGGTTTTGTAAGTTGACTGAATAATAGGGATGACTTCCGGTAATTGGGTTATAAGAATAATTTATAGCTTTCCAGTGACACTGAATCAGCACCAGACTTTTCCAGCTTTAATTTTCGCTTATATGACCATTTGCAATAACTGACAATGTTCTGATTTCTTTTCATTCAAAATTGTGTCCGCGCATATTTCCGACACAAAAACTAAGAATGATTGTGTTAGCTGTCAATATTTTTATTCCATACAAGAAGTTTATCTCTACCCATGTATTTACACGGTTTTGTGGGGGTTTTTTAATGGCTTATAACATTATATCTTTTTTAGATGTATGCAGGCTGCCACTTTCTCTTATTTAATAATAAAATGAGAGCTAACGCTGATCGTCTTTAGTTAAAAAACGCAGATGCGCATCTTTCTTCTCCTATAACTTGACTATTACTATTCGCGCAGATTTAAGATTTCTCATGGTAAAAGACATGATATTTGTAGTCAGTTTAACACAGATTTTGGAGAGATCTGTCGTTCCCTTTTTAAATTAATAATCATTTATTCATAAGTTTGTAATTAAGATAGGACAAATTGGGTACTCTACAAGCACTTGTCTTGAACAAAAACTAAGGCACAGAAATTAATAATTCTAATGCAGATTAAATCTCAAGACATTGAGCTTTTAGTGTAATGGTTTGCTGTGTGGGATGGGTAAAAAGTTATATCGTTTTAAACATAGACAAAAATGCGAACTTCCTAACCGACACCAGCAAAATCGCTTCAGGGCTCATTAACCCCGTGACCCCAAGCCCGGGAGCTCTTGCGGGCTGTTGAGTCACGCTAACTAAAGGTAACAGAATCAGGCGAAAAGTGACGCAGTGTTTAAAATTGTCTCCTTTCACCTTCTTTCCTTCTCTCCTCTTGCAGTATTCTCATTATTCTGTCGTTTCCACTTTCTTTCCCCCATCCCTTCACCTCCTCTGCCCCCTCCACTGGGCTCCTGACTCTTTTTGCAGCCCTTCTACTGCTACTGCTTGGCTCCTTCTTACTGCTGTCTTTCAGCCACACTTTTGATCTTCTGTTAGGAATGATTTACACCTAGCCTTCTCAGACAAGGGCGAAAAATCTAGGAGGTCCGTGTGCAAGTTGCACTCGTTAAACTTCCTTTGGTGGTCCAAAATAGATGAGTAGGCTTCGGACGCCACCCGGGCAAAATTCAAAATTTCTTACCAATTCAAAATGTTTGGTGTGTCCCACACGCTCACATATGACCTTATAATGGAGTTTCGAGGGCCGTAAAACACTTACCAAAAAATTGTCGTGTGTTGCCGGGTCCAGGAAGAGAATTGAAGTCGTGTTCCATGCGCTGAGCGAGCAAAGTCTTGTCGACCGCAGCTGTTTGGCTGTTCCCCCTTTCGCCCTCCGTAAAGTCTGTTGCTTTTGCACCACCGCTTCGTTATTTTTCACGCGAGTATTCCTTTGCTGTTTCCTCATTCACTTTGAGTGACTGTAGCATCTCAGTCATGCCTCTGTGGCAATGGTGGATGATTCAGGGCGCTGTGAATGTAGTCACTGCAAAAATAATGTAATGTCATGTTGTCATGATGCAGTGGAATCAGGTGCTCGTGAATTTTGGATAGTGTGTAAGCCGGGCTTGTTCATTTGCCTTTCTGTGAATGAAAAGAATATTCATCTCTCTTGAAGAGAAGTCAAGATATTTGTGATTGAAGGAGATGGGGGTAGCCTGATTTCAGAGGTGAAATTAGCGAGAAAATGACTGACAAAGTTAGGTGACTTCTAAAGTCTAAAGCTTGAGAGTCCTTGGAAATTGCAAAATTACATTTTTAGTTCTATTAATTAGCGTTTTTTCAGTAACATCCACCCAGAAATGTGTTTTTGAAACGACTTAAAAGGAGTTGAGCCAAAAAACAGAAATTCGATAAAAGTTACTAAACAGGCAAAAAAATGCCAGTTTCTCCCATTTTATTATTTAAGTGAGCACCTGATTTCACCATGCTGCCTCACAAATGTGTCCCGACTGATGAATGAAGAACTTACAACCCTTCCTTTGCCTTTCAGGTTTTACATTCTAGTGAGCACCATTGATGGGAAAGTGTCAGCCTTGGACTTGCACAACCAGGGATCAGTGGCCTGGGCTGTGGAAGCTGATTCAAAGCCGTTGTATTCATCTAGCTTGGCAAACATGGAGGTGAGTCTGATTTTGGTAGACAATTTTCTCCTTTGTTTTGCTCAATCAATTCTACAGTTCTGTAATATAAATACCATGTGGCGGCAAAAGGGAAAATTTGTGCCAAATGCTGAATTTTTCTTATGTCTGAACTCAAAATGAAAAGAGAAAGCCTATTTTAAGCAACATACTTTTTATTTCCTCAGAATCTGTCAATTGCAACCAGAGCAGTGCTAACTTGATCAGGCTTAATTAAGGTCATAATTGAAAAACTGAAAATGCCTTTTGTATATAATATAGAATGCAACTTTGGCTTTGGCCTTACATGTATGAGTCCAACCCCTTCATGATGCAGGGTCAGTTTGTGCTTCACTGCTTTGGATCCTCAGGGACGAAGAGAAACCCTAGATTTAGTGGTTGAATGCCTATTATTAGACCTAGATTGAAAATACTATGAACTGTCTCTTAAATGAAAATATTTCATCTCACAGAACAAGTACTGCTGAATTTGAATCTTAATTTAGTTTTACGAAGTGTGTGTAATAGAAGCAGTAAGCCAAATGCAAAATATGACTAATAATGTTCGTCGTCATGGTCCTCACATTTCGCAAGATTTGACGAATGCCATTCATTACAGCAACAGCTAGCTTCCTTTGCCTCATTTTATAAAGTGACGAAGAGGTTTGTTTAGCAAACAGACTTTTCTGAAAAAATTGTCCTTAGAAGTTATCCTTAGTTGTCTTAATTTTGTCCTTAGAAATCCTCATTTCTTCTTGAGATGGTACATGTTAGAAAAGTTTAGTTCAATCATTTGCTGCATATAAAAATGTGGTCATTATTGAAGCCCATTTCTTTCTATCTTGTTTTCTAACAGGTGATTCGCAATGGCAAAAAAATGAGGCTGATCCCTTCTCTTGATGGAGCCCTTTATCAGTTTGATGGAGACAAAGTTGAAGCCATACCAATGTCTGCTGAGACTTTGTTGTCCTCGACGTACAGAGTCAGCGATGATTCTATGGTTGTAGGGAGCAAAGATATAAGAAATTACGGAATTGACTTCAAAACTGGAGAGGTGATTACTGTACAGCTGATAGATTGGATTCCTTTTTGACAATTTGTGTTTTGCTGCATGTCACAGAACATTGGTGAGATTATAATTAGTAACGGTATTAAGAAAAGTTCTTAGAACAAGAAAAATGCAGTATTGAGATTTCTTCCAATTATGTTTATCATCAAAAGGTCCTTATCTATCATTCATTTTTGTGAGCTTGTAGAATTGTACCAGAAAGCAACTTAATCTTATAAACACTCTGAGAATGATATTTCCACCTTCCATTGCTCAGTATTGGATGAAAAGGCATGAACTCAGGGTCTTGTGAAGCTGCGTCAAGACAAAAAAAAATTGTTTTGTTGTTTCAGATTCAGTTCATGTGTGGCAGCGAAGGTTGTAGCAACAGCAAAGGTGAAGCGAAAAATGACCCCATAGTGAGCAACGATGTACTGGTGTTGACGCGGACCACTCAAGTTGTTCGTTGTGTGGATATTAAGAATGGACATGAAAAGTAAGATTGCTGGAGATAATGTGATTCAAAAGAACTGACATTTGTGTAGATATGACACCCTTTCATGTCTAATCATGTCTAATATCTATTGCATCTCCTCACCACCACCCTCCTCCCCTTTTTCCCCTTCCACCATTCCTCTAATCCCCTCATTCCCTCAACTACCCCAACCCCCACCTACAAAATAAAAAAGGAAGGCAAGTTACATGTCCCTTTTGCAGCAATGACAAGGAAAAATTAAATTTATATCCATTGCTCTGAAACAAGATAAAGTGAAAGTAAATTCTTAGTGGACTGTGGTTTTTGATTTAAAGAATCCATTGATAAATAAAAAAGTTATTGGGATTTTTTTTTTACGTTTACTTTTTCATCCTCTGTTGCTGTTTAGTGTTTAGGGGAGATGCAAGTTTCCTATGGTAAGCCAGCTCTGCAGCTCTTTCAATCGCCAAAAAGTGGGAAGTTTCTTGATGTAGGCATATTTTGAAGGAAACCTGTTCACAAGTCAATAGTGAATTGGGGTCTATGAATGAAACTTGGTATGTGCGTATGATTTTTTGTGCAGAATCTAGTTCTGCTATCGCTTTTTCAATGTCTTTATTACTTTGAATCTTTAAGACTAATATTTGCGTGAAAATTTGTTGAATTACGCAACATTGCTTGAACTGCTACCGATATGGGGGCCCGGGCTTGCAAGGTATTACAAAACGCCTGAAGTTTTCAACACATCTCAGTTTAAAAAATACTTTGGTCAAATTTTTAACATACTGGGCAGAATTTAGCTGAATTTAGTTTACTTGGTACAGAAAGGATATAATTTTGACCTTAAAAGGATCAGCTCTGTTTTCTGATTACCCCTTCTACGACTTAACAAAATGGTATAAAGAAAACCCATTGTGGACTCATCTGTGACCTACTTAGTTTTCGGCAGACAGTCACATGCCGCCTAGCTTTCACACACTTTTCGTATGTTGGCTGGCTAGCTTGTTCAGTTTGATACCCAGTTTCCACCTGGTGGTAATTTTAAGTTGTTATGTAAAATGTATTACACACAGGGATCTGAAATTTTACTGCAACAAAGGAGACATGTGGGGCCGCTGTCTAGTTGGTGTACATGCAGCAGCTCCCTTTAGTTTTTGAAAAATGGAAGAAAATCACACAAACAGGGCAATTTCTCCAGGTCTATAATTTGTCAGCACTGGACGCTTGCTTGTAGTAAGTTTGGTATTTTCTCTGGTTGGTTGCCATGTTTCATTCTTTTTCGTCCAAGGGTTTTCATGTAGCTATACTTACAAGAGTGTCACCTCTGATCCTGAACAGCCCAAAAATTACCCCGCACACCTGTTTTCCTACCCAAAGTGCAGCGGGCGATTGACATTGCTTCCCTTTTGTCTCTTCTTCTTTAGTGAGAAATGTAGAATGTTCTTCTCCTAAGTGGTCAGTGTCTGAAGATCAGATGACATAGTATTCGATTATATTTCCTTAGATGGAATTGAAAATGGTCTCTCTAGTTTAATGGTTTCATAATGATTGTAATGTGTTATGAAGTGATGTTATTTCATGGTAGAGTAAAAAGACTAAAGATGTTTTTTTTTCATGTGTTTTGTATTCTTTTAACAGGTGGAACTTCAGTGTTGGCCAGCATCAGGCTAGTTTGCCTCCACCAATGAAACAGGAGCAGATTGATGATGATGACATAGATGACAACGAAGACATGGAAGATTCTATACCTTTGTTCTCCAGTTTCCGTGATGGTAGGGAGCTCGGTGTCAAGATATCTGCTTTCATGACATACTTTAGAGAATTCTACTTGTTTGACAGAGTGAATGAGGTCTCGATACTTTTTTCAAACTAATCAGTAAAAGATGTTGCCAAAGTGCTATCTTTAGAGTGACTATTAGATCTGATCTTTAAGTACCGTAAAAACCTAATTTATGCTACATCTACGATATTGTTTCCTCTTCAGATTTTTAAAACGAGGTTTTAGTGATCATGTTTGTTGTGAATTTAGGTCTGTTTAGTATACTCTTTAGTACCAATGGAAAAAATGTGTTTGCTGTTATGAAGTATTTCAAGTGGACTTAATTTTTCCCCTCTGATTTTAACTGTGGTGGTTTAATTTTTATTTTTTGTTTGTTGCTTGTATTTGTGAAAATAATGTGGTAACAGCATTATAGTGATCAATATTGTATTTGTATTCAAATTTCAGAGGAATGCTCACCTAAGGAGTTCCTAGAAGATCTTGACTCTGAGAATTATCTCCGACTGATTGTTCCTGAGGGAAAAGTTGTTGCACTGAGTAAGGAAGACACGGCTACTGTCAAATGGGAGCATAAGGTGAGGAGGCTTGGTGTCTGTGTGTGTGTGCATGGATAGGGGGGGTTTAGTGCTTGCATGAGGTGCCCCAAGGATTGTGGCTGTACTGATTTGAAATGGTTACTTGATGTTTCTACTGTCAATTAAAAGTTATGAAGTTTTGAATGTTTTGTTGAACATAGCGATGAATGTCAAAATATCTTAAACTCTTCCTGTCCTCACTTTGAAAGTGTTTGTACATGTGTGACTTTGCTGTGAAATGAAGCAGTCAGCATGCTACATAGCGATCAACTCATAACCAAACATCATGATATTTAAGTGGAATTTTTCCTACTTTTATCTTGTACAATTTTGGTAATGGTTATAACACTTAGGTTACCTTAGCCGTCTATTGTACCTCAACAAATTGTTTTAGTAAGACTGATGTCACCATGTGTAGAAATCTAGAGATTGTTTGATCATCTTTTCAGTTTTCATGTGATTTTTTTTTTTACATTTCAGTTCAACAGCCCCATTGCTAAGGCATGGTTGCTAAGAAATGGGAAAATTGAAGCAATGAGTCTTTTTGATGGACGACATATTCCCACTCTAGGAAATTTTCAACCCGAGGATTTAGAGAATGAGAGCATGCATCAACCTTTACTTTATATTGGTAAGTTGTCATGAAGATCTGGCATTTTCTGGGCTCAAAATTGTTCTCTTAAGATAGAGCAAAAGGTTGGTGAATGTTTATTCTGTGGTAGGTTAAAAATACAAATGTACCCTGTCAAGTTACTTTATCAATCGTGTCAGGGCCTTATTTCTCTCACTCTGTAATTTTGCTATTTTGACTTCACCTGGCATGAAGGACAATTATTAGGATGACTGGGCTTATGTTAAAAGAAAAAAATGTTCTTTTTTAGAGAGTGCTAATCACATGATGTGGTCTCATCAGGTTCTCATCAGAAGTTGCTGTACATTCAGCCGTCACCTCAGATGGAAGCTGTGTTGAAGTCTTTCCCAAGCCGTAGGGTCGGTCATGTGATTGATCCTGCAATTAAAGTTTCCTGGAGGCCTTACCTCAACACTGGTTAGTATGCAGTTCCTCCTGAATATTTGTGTCTAGAATACCTCTAGTGAGTTCAAAACATGTGAGAACTTTTGTTATTTCCAAAGCTTGGGGGGGGG